TCGTGTAGATATCCAGGTAGTTTTGTTTTTTTTTTTATTCTAGCCTCTTAATTATTTATCAAGACCTGTACACATGCAATTCTCTCTTATCAGCATATTCTTTTAAACACATTGTTTTTACGGTAAAAGTTAAGTGGCAGATTTCTAAAAGAAATAGGCTGAAAGCAACACTATAAGTCACAAACTATACCTCTTTAGTGCTATGTGTTTTGTAAACGGTGATGTTTCAGAGTTCTTCTTCTGATGCTTGAAATTCTTTGGTGTAACCGGTTATTTTACCATCTAATGGCTTGTTGCGTTTTTGAGATTGTCAGATTTTTGCTATCTTAAAGATTTATTTATTTTAATATGTAGTGACGTTCGCTACAATAACAGTTACTTCAGGAATAGAAGTCGTTGACAATAAACATGTCTGTAGACATTTACTCTCATTTTACTTGAACAGTAAAACAATTCATTTCTTGGTTGTTTTTTTTTTTTCATCTATCTGATTCTCTTATGCTACACCTTACCAACTCTGCGTCAGTCGAGTGGTTTAATTTTGAAGTGTTATATTTATTAGGTTTTCTTTGTCGCATCTTAAATGCTATATTTGTGTCCGAGATGCGGGTGTTGTGGCTAACTTGTCCAGTGTTGCTGAATCAAGACAGTTTGTAATATTTATTCTACTGAGGTAGAAATTAGTTCTTTCAGTTTGGAAGGAAGGTGGAAGCTGATCCCAATCAGTCTTTCTTGGCGACTTCGTTTATGTTTCTTCAGATAAACCAGTGCTCTTATGCTGATAGTGATTCCGGTAATTTGATGAGTTAAGCAAGTTTTTTAGTCTAACATTGGGTAGTTCTTTGGTAGGAGGCGGAACTGGCGGATTTTGATTTAGTTTGCCTCACGCAGATGGCTTGAAGTACATTAGTGTTATTAAACAGTACTTTGAGAGTTTTTCTGTTTGAGTGGAACAGTTTCCTTCGAGTTTTTTTTGACATTTTATTGTGTATCAATGACGCAGGTTCTGTAAGCAGAGTTTTAATGGGGTTGTTAATCTGTATTCAGGAACAGTATGACAGTTGGGTGATTTAGTGTTTTCCAAATTTTTAGTGAGGTGATGAACGCGTTCATGAAGGAAATTCATATCCTGGTTGTACGTGAAAAATTGCTTTTTTTAACTGTTTTTTTGGTAATGTTTTAAAAGTGATGAAAAGTTGATTGATAACAAAGCAAGAATTGCTCTACAAAATTATCTGTGTTAATTTTTGGGTGGCGATGACGATATGTTGTCGTTTTGGTCATGGGAAATGTTTGATTATAGAATGCTGTTGTAGAAGTTCAATGTGTGTGGAGAATGTAGTGTACTTTTTGGAAACTGTTTGACCAGTTCAGGGAAACGGGATAAAAAGATTATTAGTGCTGTTAGAACTGAGTAATTTGGGCAAGAATGTATTTTTTTTCAAAGATATGCTTGGAGTAAAGTGGAAACTGCGGGACATACAGACAACAGACACTTATTGGAGTGAATGGTAGATCGATGAAAATGATGAAAATTCACTGTTTTTGAAGTTCAAAGTTGGAACAAGTTGTAATTGGAGGATAATCGGTGACAAAAAAAAAAGAGTAGTATCCAGTAGGCTTAACAAAGTTTGATCAATCTGCTTTCACCAGTCAACATCGGTATTCAAAATTAGTAATTTTAAATGGAAGTCATCTTTGTTTTGTGTGTTTTCTTTTTTAAATTTTTCATGCTTAGTTATTGTTGTAATGTAAGAACGAAAACTGGTTTACCGTAATATGGCGACAGGATAATTGGTCCTTTGTAGTTTTGTACTGTTCAATTGATCTGTTTATATGCAGCATATTTTCATGCGGTTAATAGTTAAGAATCGAAAATAATGTTACTGTAGCAATCGATACTAAAATATCTTTATGTTTTTTAAATGAAATTTATAGGGTTTTTTGTTTCAATTATAATCTAATAAAACACGATGAAAAATGAGCAAAAATGTTTTGAAGAATATTTATGGTTTGCAGGAAATTATTCACTGTTATTTAATTCTGTTGATATTATATGTCGTTTTAGCAGAAAAATTAAATTTTTGTTGATTAAACTAAAAAAATTTGATGAAACAGGGGGGGGGGGGG